ACGACGGAGGGAGTACTCCGTATGGAGTAATCAAATCAAAATAATAAATAATTAAAGAAATAAGAAGCTGTTCTCTTCGTCTTATTCTTATTACTTATTGCTTAATCTTATTTTATTCACATCAGATCTGAAAAATTCAGATCAGATCAGATCAGAAACATTCAGATTAGATCAGATCAGAAGCATTCAGATCAGATCAGAAAGATTAAGATCAGATCAGAAACATTCAGATCAGATCAGAAACATTCAGATCAGATCAGATCAGAAAATTTCAAATATGATTTATCACTTTTATTATTATATTAATTATAATTATCATAACCATTACATTTTAATTAATAATAATACATTAATAATTTTAATATAATGATAATAATAATATATTATTAAATAATAATAATATTCTAATATTATTATAATTATATTAAATTATACTAATAATAATATAATATTAATAATATTTTAATATTTATTTTAAAATGATAATAATAATAATATATAATAATATTATTATATTATATTATTATTAAATAATAATAACAATATAATATAATATAATAATAATAAAAATAATAATATTATAATATTATTATGATATTATTACTGTATTATTATTTTTATTATTATTATCATTTATTATATTATTATTATATTTTATTCTATTTTATTATATTATTGTTGTTGTTGTTATTATAATATTATTATAATATAAATATTATTAGTATAATTATAATTATTATTATTTTTATTAATAAAGTTGAATTTATTAATATTATTATACAAGGTAATTATACTTTTATTTATAATTATAATTATAATTATATAAATAAATATTATAATTATAGTTCGAATTATAATTATATAAGTAATTATAATTAAAAATATAATTACAATTATAATTGTATCTATAGTTATAATTAGTGTAATAGGTATAATAATTATAATTTTAAATTTACTTTTAATTATTATTATTATTATATTTTTTGTAATTATGATTACAATTATAATTTTATTTATATTATATTTGTAATTACAATTATAATTATAATGATTATAATTATATTTATAGAAATATTCCAATCAGATCAGATCAGAAGTATTCAGATTAGATCAGAAACATTCAGATCAGATCAGCAACATTCAGATCAGATCAGAAAGATTTAGATCAGATCAAAAAGATTCGGATCAGATCATAAACATTCAGATTCAGATCAGACTAGATCAGCAACATTCAGATCAGATCAGAAAGATTTAGATCAGATCAGAAAGATTCAGATCATATTAGAATAGAAAAATTCAGATCAAATCGGATCACAACTTAAAAAATTAACATCTAAGACATCATAATTAACATCTGATTGGTCGATGTAATTGTTAGAGAAGTCCCAAATAACATCGGATTGCTGGAGGAGGTGAGGCGGTCAAGCAATCGATAGGAAAAGGCAGGATCAGCTTTTTTTTTAGTGAAGCAATCGACCGGTTTCCCTTTGATGTAACAATCCATCGACATTGACCAGGAAGCTCGAAACCATTCGATACCTCAAGGACACGGAGATGGCAAAGAGGCTGTTCAGCGGCGGCGAATTTCAGGTTAGTTTCTTTGAGATCGGGTCTTCCCTGGTAAAAACAAAAAAATTAAATCTCAGTTGCGGTTGTTCGTTGTTATCATTGTTTTTGCATTTATTCAATCGGAAAAACAACGAAGCTTTATAATTAGAATTAGAACAACCCTACGGCAGAAGCAGTTGTCTAGAAGATGGTTTAAACGAGCACTACATTTTTTGGTCAGGGTGACAGAAGGTGGCCGCCTAATGTAAGGAGATGCTGTCAAGCTGTTAATCCTGGAGACGGTGAAGGCACGAGTGCTGCTGATCTAGGTAATCAATTATAAATAGATAGCATCAATGGTTGGTTGATGGCCGGTTATTTACTACAATTTTCATAATATAAATAAATAGTAATCTTGTTGTGTGTGATTGTTACTTTGAGCTATCAGTGGGCACCAACTGGCTGAAGGAGGGTGTTAATGAAGACACGTTGTTGGAGATACTAGCTAGGCTACCAAATAGTCGAAATGCGGTTCATGCAGGGCTGGTTTGTCACCTTTGGCATTCCGTCATCTCTCACAAGCAGTTTATTCCCAGGTTCATTGGCCTCCGGGAGCATAAGAAGAAAGAGCAGCCCTATTCCATCATATTCCGCATAGTTGATGACTATTTGGATGTTGGAGATGAGTTTTATCAGCCCATCTGCAAACTCTTTTCGGAGGAATCCGTGCTTCTCCACGGGGGAGAGGCGGTGACATCATGCAAAACTTATCCTCCTTCAGGCAGCAGTGGCGGCATCCAGCCTCCTTCACCCAACATGGTCATAAGAGCATCTTGCGGTGACTTGCTGCTTTTGTCGCAAGGTGCACGCGACTATAGGGATAAGCCAAACTCCTACTATCTATGTAACCCAGTAACCAAACAGTGGTTCCATCTCCCCCATGTTTATTTCAATATAATGTTGGTTGGGTTTGCACTAGTACGCATGCCGCCGCCCCATAACAGCTGTGGCAGTTACGAATACAAGGTGGCTTTCATTCATTTTCCCGAAGTTTCTGAAGATGAGGATTTGGCCGGGGACAGTTTGAATTTTAGAATGGCTATTTATTGTTCAAAATCAAGAAAGTGGAGTCGTAATTCATGGTTTCGATATCCTATACCTACTACCACTAGGAAACCTAGGTTTTTCATTAACCCAATCACTTGTAATGGAACTATTTATTGGTTGAATTGCAACAAGGTTCCTGACTACATCATTGCCTGTGATTTGGCGAATAACCCACACTCTACTACCTTTGTCAACCTTCCTGAAGACTCTATGCCTGGTGGTACGGGTGTTGTTTCACTAGAGTTGGGCGCTGTCCTGGGGGAATTGAGATTATTCAATGTATTCCGCCCGTCTTCGGTTGACCAGCAGCAGTCTTGGCATCTCGTTGTTGTGAAAGTTTGGGAGTTGAATCACAGAACCAATTCGTGGACTCTTGTTCATGACACACGCTTCAATGATAGGCCGCCGCTGCCTAATGACGTCCAAGTAGAAGAAGAAAACGAGTTCAACATCCGTACGGTTGCTTTCCATCCACACGACGGGGATGTGGTCTTCTTGGTATGCAGCTGTGGTGTTTTCCGGTATCACATTTCATTGGGTGTCTATGAGCAAGTCAACGAGCTCCCCGCTTCCGTGCCTCCAAGCCATCTTCTTACGTCCTTCACTCTCCTCCACTCTCATTGGCCTGCCACCATGTTGCTCTCTCGTTCAAAATAGAATAGTTATTGTTATTGCTATATTTGACTCGCTGTTAATGTGTTAGCGCACACATACTACGCATAGTATTGTGAAAGAGTGATGAACATTATTGGTTTGGGAGTGTAATCTTGACCATGAGGGTTCTCAACATTTCTCCTACATTTTTCAGTTTTGTACCCTTTGTCCTTACACTTGATTGTTCCCCACTTGATAGTTCACTCCCGCTCCTTTTTTCTTGTTCTCAATCTTTCATTTGCTTTAGTTGTAACCAATGTTGTAAATATCTCTATCGGTAGTATATTTGATACTTCATTTTTTAATAATATCACTTCATAATATCACTATCACAAAAAAAGTGTATTATGTATTAAATGTGTCGGAACTCGGAAGTAAATGCCAACTTTTTTTATTCCAAGTATAATTGTATAAAGGATCTACTTCTTGTATTTAACATATGCATTTTGAAGTAATATTTTACTTTTAGTTTTATATGTTCAGTCCATTTTTTAGTGTAACTAATACTACGTCTAAGCCTGGGAGTTAGAGTTGCATCCACTGATCCAAGTGTGAAGTGTTGAAAACTTGAAATCTTGGGGTAGTGTATCCAATGTATACTTTCATACTTCATAGTTTCATAGGGAGAATTAAGGGGTGGACTCGGGCCGGTCGGCCCGACCTGGGACCGGCCCGGCCCGGTCACTGTTTGGCCCGGCCCGTGGCCCGGTGGGTCCACCGGTTCGGTTTGGCCCGGCCCGGTGCTGGGCGGTCCGGGCTCGGGCCCAGCTTTTGGTGAACCGGCCCGGCCGGTTCGGGCCCGGTCCGGATTTTAATTTTTTTTTTTTGAATTTTTTTTAAGTTTTAAGTTGGATTAGGTATTTTGGGCCATTTGAGGTGGTTTGGGATGGTTTGGGGTTGAGGGGGAGGGGTAGGGGGTTAAATAAGAGAACCAAAAACCAAAAAAAAAATGTGTGGGCCGGTTGGCCCGGCCCGGCCCGGAACCGGAACCGGCCACCGGCGGTTCGGGCTCGGGCCTAGAATTTCTGAACCGCGAATCGGCCGGGCTCGAACCGACCCGAGTCCACCCCTAGGGAGAAATCTGTGATTGAAAAATCAATTGCTCTCCTTAGCCATGACATTATCAATAGCTTCGTTCTCCTAAAACACACGATGTCTCAAGGAAGTTTCAACGAGCATGGGGCCATGCCATCGGCCAGAAGGCCGAGAACCTCCATCTCTGGTTATTTATTGCAAAAAGTATTCCCAAAAGGCCAAAACAAAAGCCACTGTGGAGCCAAATCCATGACAATTCTGATGTGTTTGTAGTCATGTGAGATGTGAGAAGAAGATGGATCATTAGAATTAGGTTGAGAGAAACTTTGGACGGCTATTCATTTGCTAGTATTGTAGTAAAAGTTATGGAAAAATTGTTTGGAACATAGTAATTGAAAATATGGTCATATTCGAACACGGGCCACTTTGTGTGGTTCTTTGATATGTGCACCATTTTAAATGGGAATTGTTTTGGTACTTGGAGGAATCCGATATGTGCAAACCAACGGTACTATTCGAGCTTATCTTTGGCAGAAAGTATAAGAGGCAAAATTGCAAATACCCAAATCACTCTTTTGTAGCATACTAGAAGGCTAGAATAGAAATAATAAAGAACCAAACCACTACTCATCTGAGGCTCCTAAACCAAGTTCCTGTGTGGCTGTGTTACCTGTGTATCGGATGAGGATGTGTATCAGATGATAGTAATGAGGGGGGGGGGGCATGTACAAATAATTCTACCAAGAAGCTTATACTAAGAAACAGTAGGAAAATGATGTATCAACCCTAAGGATTTCTAAGGGCAGCCAATCTCTTCTCCAGTTCATCAACTCCCGAGCTGTTGACAAGAAGAGTTATTATAAATATGAGAGAAGGTTGATGAATTAACTCTTTTCAAAGCATATAATAAGAACATTTCCCATTTCCTCTTTAAAAAAAGATTATTACCTACTGCTCTCCTCAATCTTTTTCCCAGCAATTTTTCCTTTTGGAGCTGCTGATAACTGTCAAGTGTCCACAATTAATTAGTCAAGTACTCAAATATATGGTAAATGTAAAGTAGTGACACAAAGTTCTCCAAATATGAGAAAGTGATCAATTTATGTGTAGGAAGTAAGAATTTTTTTTTTTGTTTATGCTAAATTAAACTGAATTGATATATTATTTTGTTTTGTTTAAAAAAGTGGAAATTTCAAAAGGGTTTAGGGTGTAGATTTTTTTGAAGTGATTTTTTTGGTATATCACTGATTAATTTCAAATGCCCATCACCAATGCATCTCACAACTCATTCTGATTACCAATTAGTTTTTAGTTATTTTGTTTCATAATCACATTGAAATAGAATGTTTCAGTCTGTCAAACAATTTTTTATTCAGATGCTTAATGTGATTTCTGTCAGGACTGAAATTGTCTTAATTGCACAACACACTTTAAATGCATGTTTTTAAAAAATGCAAATTGTACAAAGCTCACCTGTGAAGCAATATCAACACCGATTTCATCAAGGACCTATGGAAGTCAAATTAAAGACTTTTGTCAGAAAATAGAAGATGAAATAGATGACATATAAGATGAACAAGATCGTTATAACCTCCGTCCCAAAAGAGTCTTGTTTGACCAATGCTTTTAGTTTTGTTAAGGTATGAGTGTATAACTGTCATAAATCATGAGCCATAATCATATTTTTCTATTTCTTTTGTTTGCTAAACAAAACCAGTCATATGCAAATTTGTTTGTGACTCTTTATTGGTATACTGTTGACAAATCACATGAAAACAACGTCAAATTCCAAACTATGAGAGTATGAGTCATGTTTTTCTTCCATAAATGGAAGTAATTACTACTACGCATCATATTTGGAAAACACTACCAATTATGCCATTAATACCACCATATTAATTTCCTGATAAGGCCAAAATATGAAATTATGATTTAGTATGATAGTAATTAACTCCTATAGGGAATAATATAGTACTCCTATTTCAGAATTTCACATTGTTTTTACTCATGTCTTGGGAAATTTCCCAAAACAGGACTCTTTTTTTGGACTGAGGAAGTATATAACTACACTAAGGCTAATTATCATGGCAGTCAAGTGGTGTATGCAAATGATTTTCGACAGGACTCATGTATTAATTAAGGTAAAACAAATACAAAAGGTTTTCATCAATTTTACTCCAGGATCAGCATAACTTTTTAATGAAGGTCCTAAAGGTTATCATAACTTTTTAATATACCTGGTTCGTCAACTCTTCTGTTTCGTCTTCAGCTTCATCATTGTCCAAAGCATCATCTATGGCATCTGACATCATCTCTGTCTGCACAATATAGCAGCAGCTTATTTAATTTTCTTCACAAAAGATCCTATTTTTCTGACCATGTGAGTATCATCATTCTTACAATCATGTCCATGTGAGCTGATTGTTTTTGGAAATCTTGAATCACCTTTGCCTGTTTTGCTGGAGCCATTTGCTGCATTTGGATTCACATGTAATTTCAACAAGAATGAGGAATACAAGGTAACAAAAAAACAAACAAGTGAATATGACATGGCTGACAAGGAATACAAGGTAATTAAACCGACTGGTCATCTATCCTTTTTTCAAGGAAAAACCATTATATTAAATCAAACCCATATTTCTCTGGTCATCTTACCTTATTCATGGCTGTCATAGCTTTAGTGGCACCCTTCATGCCTGCAGCAACTGAAGTTTGGGCATGTATTGCTTGTGTGTGAGTTGCTATGCCTCTCATCTGAGCTCGGCTACCTTGCAGGTTAGCAATTTGCTGTCTTAGCCTGATTAGCTGGCGTGCTAGTATCTTAGTTGCAGCCTGAAAATTGATGCAATTAAAAGATATAAAATTGAAAAATAAAGTCCCCTATGCGACTAAAATTTGTATAAATCTGGAATATGATTTTTTAGATTATTTTGCAGAGCCCATGCAATTTGAATGGGAGATTAATAAATTGGAAGTTGGAACACTAAATGAATTCTACAATTTTGTTTTCTACACCAAACATGGAAAATTAGGTTTGCTAATCACTTATACATATTTTGGAATTCATTTATACCACCAAATAGGGGGAAAGCTCCCAAAGAAGACTGCCGCATACTCGCGAATAGAATCGCAATATAGATTAATCATATGTAGATTTTAAGGATCAATAAACTCAATAGGCAATCAAAAGCCAGACCTCATTTCCAGATTTAGCAGTTCTCTTGATCTCAGCAACAAGCTTCTTTTCCTGTCTCAACAGTAACCAAATTATATTCTTTCTAGGTTTAACAATCTACTTATGATTTAAAAACAGAAAACAACTTATTCAGAGCTATAAACAAGTAAAACCGCATGATAATCTTCAGGTTATGATCACACAGATATTCATAATAAGTATGAATAACATCAACAAATTACCTCCAATTGCAAAGCAGAAATTTCCTTCTCTATGCCTGCATCACGATGATAACTCATCAACATGAGTAGCGAAATACAGAGATATGTCACTATTTCCTTGCGCTGTAGTGACAATTCAATTACTCTATATAACTATATTAAGCTTAAGATTTGATTTCACAGGGTCAAAGAACAATACCCATGTGCTTGCTCTCAAATATCTCCCCAAGGGTTAGTTTTTATTACATTTATATCTTCGTTTGTATTTGAGATTTTATAAAAAATGAAGGAATAATATAATAGGTGATCAGATAACATTTCAATCAAAACCTTTATTCATTTTTATAACAACATATATTGAGCAATTCAAAGAGTTACTCTCTACCCAAATGTGACTTTTAGTAAACAGAAACAAGAACAGGCATAACTATGATCACTTAGAAATTAGTATGTTTGTTGCATTCCTTGCATTCTAAATACAGAGAAATTGTTGTTATTTCTTTGTTAAACAGAACCATTACACTTCTAATGAACAATCATAATTCTAATTTATATCTTGAGACAAGGACAAATCCACAGACCTCTGGTGGCATTGGCCATTTCTCGTTTACTGTCTCGGAGTACCTCTGCATTCGTAAAAATCATTTTTGCTTAAAATATAATAATAACCATAATTACTAATAATAACAGTAATAGTATATTAAAAATGATAATAGTAATAGCAATCATAACAACAATGATAGTAACAATAGCGCAATAATAAAGACAGCAAGTTTGGCAGTATAGGTAAGTAGAAATTGAATTACAAAAGCAGGATATGAAATTGGATTCCGTGATCCCGATAAAAAAAGACCTAAAATTCCAAAATTTGATAAGACACAAAAAAGGAAAAATAACCTTTAGCTGTAGGTTTCTTGGAGAATAAATTCATGTTTGGTGTCGTAGCGGGATCCAATTCTAACAGGTTCGGCTCTGTTTCTATATATAATAAGTCTCTGGATTAGCCAATATATACTGATTGGTAAGGTATAAGAAATCAGGGAGTGATAAATTGAAACCTCGAAGTTGAGATTTTGAAGAGTCCCTTGGAATTTTATCAAATATGTTTTGAGAACTGTAAAACTTCAACCTTTGCAGGAGAAGATCCACATGGTGTCAGACTCGGCAATGTTTGGAAAACAAGCCTACTAAGATTACACACTCAAATTTAATTATCTGTATTCACTATCAACAATACTTTCAGTCTTTTACATAATCGGCAAACCAATAGCTGTAATTGCCCAACATGCCTTTCATCATGTTTTATACGAAGGAAACCAAGTGATTTTTTCTTGAACAGTGAAAATATTTATGATTTTCAAGTGTTTCATTTAGGAAAAATAATAATTTTGCAATTTAAAATGAAAAAGTTAATATTTTAACATACAAAATAAATCTTTATTTTTAACTCTTTAATTTTTTTTTCAATTTCGATTTTATAATTTTTTGTAGTGTTTTCTAAAATTTATTTTATTTATTTAAAGTCTGTAAAGTTGTTACTTTATAGGAACATGAAAGGTGTTTTTGCACATTTTAAAAGTTCAGGGATATATGTGCATTTTCACATAAATTTTAGGAGTATATTTGTTCCAAAAATAGAATAGGGATATATTTGTTCTCAAACTCATACTACAGGGGTATATTTGTACTTTTCTTGATATTAAATCATGTCTGATTTAAGTCGTCTGTATGAGTTAAGATGTCTATTTAGATTAAATGATGTTTGTATATAAGACTGTTTTTATTCTATACTCCGTACTGAATAAATTATCTGAATTGAGCAAAATAATCAATTTAGCATTATTCTAGATTATAAATTTATAATAATGTCAATGAGAAATTTCACTTGTTAGCATAAACGTATTCCACAATTGATTTAAAAAATTTGACAAAAAAGACGCCTTAATGGCTAGGACTACTATTTTCCAATTTTAAGTCAGTTTTTCTGAATGAATGATTAAGTCATATTTTCAATTAAAACATAAATAAACACAATTTAATGACTGAATAATTAAGTCGCATTTCTTGTTAAGTTTATTAAGTCGAAAGTAAATAGCCTGGTAAGGGTAGGTAAATGGTACATAAGCCACTAGTCAATTCGGATAAAACAGGTAGAAGCTAGCTTGGATTGGGTATTAATTAATTTTATAAAAATCAAGTCGGGCGGATGATGGGTTTTAAGAAAACGGAACACACTGATCCTAAATTTTGAAAAATAGATCCTCAGATTTAGGGGTGGGCAATCCGGTTGATGATTCGGTTTTCTTCGATTTGCGGTTTGGTTCGATAATTTATTCGTTTGGGAGATATTGTATCAAACTAAAGAATTTGTGTTCGATTTGGTATCGATCGGTTTCGATTGGGTTTGCTATCGCCTTTCCTTGTGTCATTTAATTTTCTTTCCTTGTCTTTTACTTTTCTACCACTTTTGCTTTGTAGATTTTTGTTCTAGTCCCCAGCCAAATGTTGTATTTTACTATCTCCGTCCCAAAAAGGTTGGTCAATTTGACTTTTCTTGGTCAATGGTGTTAAAGTTTAGACAATGATTTTAGGTATTATATTTAAGTGTAATTTATAAATTTTATACTTTTATGAAAGATCTTTTGATAAAGAATAAGCTCATATAATTTTCATATTTCAAATAATTTTGTATTAAAAGATATCATTAGTCAAAGTTGATAACTGTTAACCAAGAAAAGTCAAATTGGCCAACCTTTTTGGGACGGAGGGAGTATTACTTTTAATATATTGGTTAGGTGGTCCCTAGCCCTCACCCCATCTTTCAATGGCTTGCCACTATAAAAAATCATAGGATGCACATCATTAGCAATTTAATTAGTTAAATCTTGGAGCGGTGATTCGAACAAATCTTGAATTGACATTCAAAATAAAACAATATTTCAAAAATGTTATCAATAATAAACTAAAACATAACATCCTACTCCTAATAATTTATTAAGTTTTAATAAATTTATTATGAATTTACTGAATCATAAGACCCATATATTTTTGCTAAATATATTATGCGTATATTTTTTATAGATGTCAATAAACTTATTATTAAATCACTAAATCAGAATAAGTCGTGTATTTTCCACAATTTTGAATTCACACTTTGCTTATTTTCAAAAATAACTACATGTTTTTGAATTAATTAAAAGATTTTACAACATATGACTCCTAAGTGTAGTTTGTAGTAGGTACTCTAATTACAAAGATCATATATTCATATGACAATTTTTTACACATTCAATGTCACGCCCCGGACCTTCCCGGACACGTCAACAACCCGCCGTACAGTACGAATAGTCAACCGCAGTCCAACTCATCCATACTATACAAGGCGTCTTGAATACCATTCACATTAGTACATCCATAAACAATCATAATGTAAATCATTTAATTAAGCAGCGGAAATATTAATACAAGCATTCGAGCCACACGTGGCAAACACGGGCGTGCAAGCCCCAAATAATTATTCGGAAAATAGTATCCATGAGCATTAATTTGAATGTTTAAAACAGAAACGGAGGAAGCACGAACCACGTCTCCTCTCCTTGATAATCCGCCCGAAGCAATGGTGATGGTAGCAACCTTCAAGTTCTACCTGAAACTGTGAGGTGGCCTCCCCCGTGAAGGGGAGGTCAGTACTTGGAAGCATTTGACAAGTACAATGACAACTATACTAAGTATAATCAAAGTTTCAATTTCCAAGACCCTCAATCCAAGATGTTATTCATTTGTACTTAACTCCTGTTCCTTCATGCTAGAGCTCGGCTCATAGTCATGCTAAATTGTGCTAGAGCTCGGCTCATAGTCACACTACATTCGCTAGAGCTCGGCTCATAGTCATATATACTAAAATTGTGCTAGAGCTCGGCTCATAGTCACCCTACGTTTGCTAGAGCTCGGCTCATAGTCATACTAATTTGTGCTAGAGCTCGGCTCATAGTCACCCTACGTTTGCTAGAGCTCGGCTCATAGTCATGCTACCACGTGCTAGAGCTCGGCTCATAGTCACGTCAACTAATCCCGAAACCACTTCTTAGTCTAGGTTCCATCCATTTTGAGTAACCCCTTAAGGCCTACTCCAAATGTAACTTAAGTTCATAATAATTTGAATATCTCAATTGAATTCCACATTCAAGTATAACTTGGCTCTAATATCAAAATATCACTTTTATCCTTCCATGACTTCCTTACATGAGGTAAAAGTATATTTATCACAATTTAGTTTATAGTTTACACAACTATTATACCATTGTATTCATAACACATAATCATACACAATTTATTCATAAATTTGTATATTATGCATTTTTGCTTATAAACAATAAAAATCTCATTTAGGCATTTTATTATTATAAATACATCATGCCAAACACATATAATTCATTTAGGTAATCTTATGAAATTAACCCAATAATTATAAGCAATATAGTCGGTCATCCTCACCTTAAGTGAGCTTAAGCGTGTTCTACGCTCCGCGGTTGAACTTTGACTAATTCCGGTGAACTTTGACCAACTCCGGCCAACTTGACCAACTCCGGCGAAACTCCGGCGAAGCTCCAAAGTACTTTAATCAAGTTCCTAACAAGGTTTTAACATCATAAAACCTTAATCAATACAAATAACCTCTAAAAGATTATTTTCCGGTGAACTTGTCGGTTTGGCTCCTAGGTCCGTTTTTGGACTTAGAACCCCCTTCCAACCATCATTCTACACTTAACTCATGTGGAACAATCCTCAATGTTCTTCACATGATATATATCTCATATTGTAGAAGAAAAATAAAGGAAAAGTTAATATAAGGTTATTACCTTAATCTTTCTCACTTTTCCTAGCTTTTTTCTTCTTTTAAACTTTCCCCTTGGACTTCTATTGCTTGAGCTCTCTTCAAGGATGGGAAAAGGGAGATGGAGATTTTCTTTTCTTGCTGGGGTTGGTGCTGGCCGAGAAGAATGAGGGAGAGAGGGGTGAGGGGATGGTCTTTTGTCTCAAAGGTCAAATGGGGTGGATGTGGTCCCCTTTTTTTTTGTTTGATGCTTCTTCTTTCACTTCACACACATCACCCATGCCTCTTCCACCATCCAGCCGGCCAAGTCATGAAAAAATATGGCTAATTTCGTGGGTTGGCCCCCACCCATGTGGGAGGTCAACCCCTTTTGTCCAGAAGTGTACACTTTGTCCCGAAAGTTGTATTTTTCGGACCATTTAAAATATATTTTATTTTATCGGGTCAAATAAAATATATTATGTGCTCTCCATCATTAAGACTCTTATGATGAATATTCATACCCCAACTTAAATTTATAAGTCCCCGAAATTCAATTTCGGGCTTTTATCGGTTAAATTGCCAATACCGGTATTTAGGCCTCTTTGACCAATCGGTCAACTCCGGACCTTTCCATGGCTCAAATGAGTTATCCTCCACCATATAGATATTATCTAGACCGATATGGATAGTTTATGTAGTCCCGGGAATATTGGGCGGCCCCCGCTCCCGGTGCGGGCCCCACGTGCGAATTTACTATTCACGCAAAATAATTAATAAAAATCCATAACATTGTAAACTCGTTAACCATTCCACAAGGTTACATACAATATTATTCACTTAAAAGTAAATACATTTGGGGACGGTGTTACAAGTTCACCCCCCCTTATTTGGGATTTCGTCCCCGAAATCCATGTGTCTAATCGAAAAGAAACGGGTATTGCTCCCTCATTGAGACCTCGGTCTCCCAGGTTTCTTCTTCGACTCGATCACTCCTCCAAAGAACCTTTACCATAGGAATCTCTTTGTTCCTCAATTTCTTCACCTGTTGACCCACAACCTTTACCGGTTCCACTGCATATTGTAGATCTTCACGTATCTCCACCGGTGGCTTCTCAAGAATATGAGATGGATCTCTCACGTATTTCTTGAGCATCGATACATGAAACACGTCGTGTATCTTCTCAAGTTCCGGCGTCAGCTCGAGACGGTAAGCCACCGCCCCAATCCTTTCAAGGATTTCAAACGGACCAATGTATCGGGGGTTGAGTTTTCCCCTCGATAAAAATCGGATGATACCCTTCAAAGGAGAAATTCTTAGGAAGACCTTATCACCGACCTCGAACTCCAATGGCCTGCGTCGTTTGTCGGCATAGCTCTTCTGCCGATCTTGGGCGGTCTTAAGTCTATCCTGAATGACTTTCACTTTAGTCTTGGTGATTTCAACAAGTTCAATCCCCTCGAGCTTGGCCTCGCCAACCTCGTCCCAACATAGCGGTGTCCTGCACTTCCTCCCATACAATGCCTCGTATGGAGGCATGCCAATGCTCGCCTGATAACTATTGTTATAGGCGAACTCGACTAGAGCCAAATGTTTGTCCCAACTTCCTTGGAACTCCAGAGCACACGCCCTAAGCATGTCCTCCAATATCTGTATCACTCGCTCGGATTGTCCATCCGTCTGTGGATGAAAAGCCGTGCTAAACTTCAATTTAGTACCCAAAGATGCTTGAAACTTGGGCCAAAATCGAGATGTGAATCGTGGATCCCTATCCGAGACAATGGATATCGGAACTCCATGTAGTCTCACAATCTCCTCCGTGTATAGCTTCGCCAACCTTTCAAGAGGGTAAGTGATGTTAATAGGCAAAAAGTGAGCACTCTTGGTGAGCCTATCAACTACTACCCATACCGCATCATAGTTGTTCACGGTCCGTGGCAACCCCACCACGAAATCCATAGTCACATGCTCCCACTTCCATTCTGGAATGGAAAGTGGCTGTAATAACCCAGCTGGATGCTGATGCTCTGCCTTGACTTGCTGACAAGTAAGGCACCGACTGATGTACTCGGCTATCTCTCTCTTCATACCGGACCACCAGTAACTTTCTTTCAAATCGCGATACATCTTCGTGCCCCCCGGGTGCATGGCATAAGCCGATGAATGAGCTTCCTCTAAGATGGACTTTCGGAGCTCATCCTCTGCCGGCACACACACTCGGTCGCGAAATAATAAAAGACCGTCGTCTCTTTCTCTGAAGTCCTCCACTGGTCCCGCTTGCAAGCGTTCCCTGATCTTCACAATTTCATCGTCAGTTTCCTGACCCTTCTTGATCTCATCAAGCAAAGTAGGTCTCACCTCAAACCGTGCCAATAAGGCACCATTACTGGACACCTCCAGTTGGGCTCTTAATGCCCTCAAATTAGCTATCAATGCCCCAGTTGAGCTCTTCCGGCTCAAAGCATCTGCCACTACATTTGCCTTGCCTGGATGGTACTCAATCACTAGGTGGTAGTCCTTTATCAACTCCATCCACCGTCTCTGCCTCATGTTTAACTCTTTCTGAGTAAACACGTACTTCAAGCTCTTATGGTCAGTGTATATGTGACATGTCTCTCCGTAGAGATAATGTCTCCAAATCTTCAGTGCGAACACCACTGCTCCCAACTCTAGATCATGGGTGGGGTAATTTACCTCATGCTTCTTCAACTGTCGTGAAGCATAGGCAATTACCCTCCCCTCCTGCATTAACACACATCCAAGCCCTTGGATGCTCGCGTCACTATAGACATCGTACCCCATACCCTGTTTGGGTAATGCAAGTACCGGTGCCTCGGTTAATCTCTTCTTCAGTTCAGCGAATCCTTTCTCACACTTGTCATCCCATACAAACTTAGCTCCTTTTCGAGTGAGCTTTGTCAACGGTGATGCCAAAACAGAGAACTTTTCCACGAACTTTCTATAGTATCCTGCCAATCCAAGGAAACTACGAATTTCCTTGACGTTCTTTGGCCTCTCCCATTCGGTGATGGCTTCTATCTTCTTGTTATCAACAGCAATTCCCGATCCCGAAACCACATGCCCGAGAAAACCAATCTCCTCAAGCCAAAATTCACATTTAGAAAATTTGGCATAGAGTTGCTTCTCCCGTAGTGTCTCAAGAACGAGTATCAAGTGCTCCTTATGCTCTTCCTCACTCTTTGAGTAGATCAAGATGTCATCAATGAACACAATCACGAATCGGTCCAAGTATTTGTGAAATACTCGGTTCATCAAGTCCATGAATGCCGCCGGGGCGTTTGTTAACCCAAACGACATAACAAGGAACTCAAAATGCCCATACCTCGTGCGGAAAGCACTCTTCGGTATGTCATCCTCCTTAATCTTCAATTGATGGTACCCCGACCTCAAGTCAATCTTTGAAAACACGGTTGCTCCTCGTAGTTGATCAAACAAGTCATCAATCCTAGGCAAAGGATACCTATTTTTGATTGTGACCTTGTTCAGTTGACGATAGTCAATGCACATTCGAAGTGTTCCATCCTTCTTTTTCACAAAAAGGACTGGTGCTCCCCACGGGGAGTGGCTTGGTCTGATGAAACCGTTATCCAAAAGCTCTTGCAATTGGGTTTTTAACTCGTTAAGTTCAGCGGGTGCCATACGGTATGGCGGTATGGAGATTGGTTTGGTGCCGGGCTCGACCTCGATCACGAACTCAATCTCCCTATCGGGTGGAAGTCCCGGTAAGTCTTTTGGAAAGACATCCGGATACTTGCATACTACCCTCACATCATCAATGCTCGCCTCTTCCTTGGTTTTGTCTATTACATAAGCTAGATAAGCGTGACATCCCTTTCTCATCATACTCCTAGCCCTTACGGCGGATATGATACAACTATTGGATTTGGCCCTATCCCCCTCGAAGCGTAAGGTTGCCCCTTCGTCGCTTTCGAGTTCAAGTACTTTCGTGTAGCAATCGACCCTAGCATGATGCTTCTCAAGCCAATCCATCCCCAGGATTGCATCAAATTCAATCATACTCAGCGGCACGAAATCACACGACAAGTTTTGGCCCTCCACTTCCACCTCACACGATGGATAGTGGCTATCTCTCTCGATGACTTCCCCTAGGGGTGTGGATACCAATAGGGCTTGAGCCATCGGTACCAGGGGCACGTTGAATCCCCCGGCGAATGCCTCACTCACAAATGATCGTTGCGCCCCGGTATCGATGAGGATTCTCGCACATCTCCCATTAATCTTTAGTGTTCCTACATTTATAAGCCATGTAAGATACCTCTCTAACATACCGACCAATCCTACGAAGAACATCGTGCGAAATTATGTCCTTAAAGTGGGCAAAATCCCCCAATTATGGTTGACGTTCGCAGTTAAGATATAAATTGACACTGTCTCACCGTTTTGATCATATCTCTTCACATACTTAACCAAATCGTTCGATTCAAATTCCATCATTTAGACAATGAAAATATCTACAACTTTCATGAAGACAACTTTTTCATTTGACGAACACTTCGAGGTGTACCCGGTCGGGTAACATACTATACCCGGTCGGGTATAGGTTCCAGTGGGTTCGGGCAGAATTTTTTTGACAAACCCGGTCGGGTATAGCACCATACCCGGTCGGGTATGTGTTCCAGTGGGTTTCGGGAAGAAATTTTTGACAAACCCGGTCGGGTATACCACCATACCCGGTCGGGTATGTGTTCCAGTGGGTGTCGGGAAGAAATTTTTTGACAAACCCGGTCGGGTATACCACCATACCCGGTCGGGTATGTGTTCCAGTGGACTTATGAGTGCAAAAACTTGGCCTACCCGGTCGGGTTCATTACCAAACCCGATCGGGTATGCGATCCAGAAGGTTTACGAGGGCAAAAACTTGTCCTACCCGGTCGGGTTTATTGCCCTACCCGGTCGGGTAGTAGCATGGTTTTGCTCTCCTTTCCCATTTCAATATTACGTCCGCTCCCGCCTGGATTCTAGGATTTATAACTTCAATTTATGGATGAGGAATGGGTAAAATACGGGAAGTTAAGCGGTCGTACCTGCAACCGAATCTGGGTTAGCTCGGGCATCCGCCTCCGTCATTGCGTAGACCCTTGCTTGGGTCCTTCCTTGGTTAACGGACGGCGCATTGCTCGTGCTTGCTCCCCCTTGGCCCGTACTGGCATGCGGTGCTCCGGTTCGGTTCCTACTTGCCGTAGTAGGGCCGCTTGATCCCGCCCCTCGGTTCCCACCAAGTTGAGGGCAGTTGGGCTTGATATGCCCTGTGCTCCCGCATTGGTAGCACCGTGGTGGATCACGACACTTACCGGCGTGGCTCCGGTTGCAATTCCTACACCTTGGCGCAGTTGACGCTTGTGAGCCCGAGTTGTGCCCGCTGAAGGCCGGGTTCCCTTTTGACGGCGGTGCCGGTGCCCTGAACGATCCGCCTCCCCCATGGTTCCCCTTCTTGTTGGAACCTTGGGGGCCATGGCTTTCCCACTTCCTTTTCTTCGCCTCCTCGGCATTCCTTAGCTTTCTTTCCTCCCACTCCTTCTCTCCCTTCAGGCCTTGTTCAACCACTTGACTAAACGTCATATTAGGCAATTGTGTTGCCCTCTCACGTATGTCAAGGTCCAAGGCATCCCAGAAGTGGTTCACCATCCGGTTCTCATCACATATGTACTCCGGTATGAATTCGGCAAGCTTTCTGAACTTGTGCTCAAGTTCCTTCACCGTGCATGCACCTCCTCGTGTCAAGTTTGTATACTCCCTCCTCTTCATGTTTACCTCGAAGTCGGAGTAGTATTGGTTGAAGAACTCCTGCCGGAAGTTCTCCCAGGTGACGGTCTCGCCGTACTTCCCTTTGACTCCGTCCCACCATGTGGACGCCATGCCTTCAAGCAATCTTATTGCCACCCTCAGTTTCATGTTGGGTGGCAGCTGCATGTCAAGGGCCGCTTCGTTGAATCTTTTGATCCACTCGGCCGCCATGGAGATGTCCCCCGTTCCGTCAAACGGTTTACATCCCAAATCTCTTGCTTCCTTGACAAATTTGGAGATCCTTGTGGTTGGACCTCCAGCATTTTGGCCTCCATGGGGTTCAACATGGACCCTAGAAGCACCATGACTTCCCCCTCTTGAAGCCATGCCCGAAGGTTGCCCCGCTCGGCGCCTTCGGCGTTGTCTCCTCTCCTCACGCTCCTGGTGGTATTGTTGGAGCAGCGCCTCGATTCTCCCAAGAGTGCCATCATCTTCACTCTCTTCACTCACATCATCATCCTCCCCATCATATGGGGTTTCCACCGGCTCGGTTTCCGGTCTATAAGTTGAGTCCTCATAGGACCAATAAGTCTCACTCTCGGTGTCCACGTGGCCATCGCTCACGGTCTGTTGTTGGCCTCCACGGCCCCTTCCCCTTGACACCCTAGTGGACCCCCGGCTGCCGCGTTCGGACCCACCCGGTACACGGCCCGTCGGGTTCCTCCTAGTGATTCTACCAATTGGCTCCATTTCTGAAAGAAGTTTAGAATGAGCCATTAGACTCGTATCAACTGTCAAGTGACGGATAGGTACTTAAAGACATCTTTTGGCTTAAATCACCGCCATACCAATTGTTAAGGGTACCATCTTAACAATTAGAGACTTTGCAACTCAAGTACCAAAAGTTCTATAAGTACAAAACTTTTTCTGCTCATGGTTTTCAAATTCGTTTTCAAAAGAGGTTTTGAAGCTTCATTATGAAGTTTACGGACTAAGGCTCTGATACCAATTAAATTGTCACGCCCCGGACCTTCCCGGACACGTCAACAACCCGCCGTACAGTACGAATAGTCAACCGCAGTCCAACTCATCCATACTATACAAGGCGTCTTGAATACCATTCACATTAGTACATCCATAAACAATCATAATGTAAATCATTTAATTAAGCAGCGGAAATATTAATACAAGCATTCGAGCCACACGTGGCAAACACGGGCGTGCAAGCCCCAAATAATTATTCGGAAAATAGTATCCATGAGCATTAATTTGAATGTTTAAAACAGAAACGGAGGAAGCACGAACCACGTCTCCTCTCCTTGATAATCCGCCCGAAGCAATGGTGATGGTAGCAACCTTCAAGTTCTACCTGAAACTGTGAGGTGGCCTCCCCCGTGAAGGGGAGGTCAGTACTTGGAAGCATTTGACAAGTACAATGACAACTATACTAAGTATAATCAAAGTTTCAATTTCCAAGACCCTCAATCCAAGATGTTATTCATTTGTACTTAACTCCTGTTCCTTCATGCTAGAGCTCGGCTCATAGTCATGCTAAATTGTGCTAGAGCTCGGCTCATAGTCACACTACATTCGCTAGAGCTCGGCTCATAGTCATATATACTAAAATTGTGCTAGAGCTCGGCTCATAGTCACCCTACGTTTGCTAGAGCTCGGCTCATAGTCATACTAATTTGTGCTAGAGCTCGGCTCATAGTCACCCTACGTTTGCTAGAGCTCGGCTCATAGTCATGCTACCACGTGCTAGAGCTCGGCTCATAGTCACGTCAACTAATCCCGAAACCACTTCTTAGTCTAGGTTCCATCCATTTTGAGTAACCCCTTAAGGCCTACTCCAAATGTAACTTAAGTTCATAATAATTTGAATATCTCAATTGAATTCCACATTCAAGTATAACTTGGCTCTAATATCAAAATATCACTTTTATCCTTCCATGACTTCCTTACATGAGGTAAAAGTATATTTATCACAATTTAGTTTATAGTTTACACAACTATTATACCATTGTATTCATAACACATAATCATACACAATTTATTCATAAATTTGTATATTATGCATTTTTGCTTATAAACAATAAAAATCTCATTTAGGCATTTTATTATTATAAATACATCATGCCAAACACATATAATTCATTTAGGTAATCTTATGAAATTAACCCAATAATTATAAGCAATATAGTCGGTCATCCTCACCTTAAGTGAGCTTAAGCGTGTTCTACGCTCCGCGGTTGAACTTTGACTAATTCCGGTGAACTTTGACCAACTCCGGCCAACTTGACCAACTCCGGCGAAACTCCGGCGAAGCTCCAAAGTACTTTAATCAAGTTCCTAACAAGGTTTTAACATCATAAAACCTTAATCAATACAAATAACCTCTAAAAGATTATTTTCCGGTGAACTTGTCGGTTTGGCTCCTAGGTCCGTTTTTGGACTTAGAACCCCCTTCCAACCATCATTCTACACTTAACTCATGTGGAACAATCCTCAATGTTCTTCACATGATATATATCTCATATTGTAGAAGAAAAATAAAGGAAAAGTTAATATAAGGTTATTACCTTAATCTTTCTCACTTTTCCTAGCTTTTTTCTTCTTTTAAACTTTCCCCTTGGACTTCTATTGCTTGAGCTCTCTTCAAGGATGGGAAAAGGGAGATGGAGATTTTCTTTTCTTGCTGGGGTTGGTGCTGGCCGAGAAGAATGAGGGAGAGAGGGGTGAGGGGATGGTCTTTTGTCTCAAAGGTCAAATGGGGTGGATGTGGTCCCCTTTTTTTTTGTTTGATGCTTCTTCTTTCACTTCACACACATCACCCATGCCTCTTCCACCATCCAGCCGGCCAAGTCATGAAAAAATATGGCTAATTTCGTGGGTTGGCCCCCACCCATGTGGGAGGTCAACCCCTTTTGTCCAGAAGTGTACACTTTGTCCCGAAAGTTGTATTTTTCGGACCATTTAAAATATATTTTATTTTATCGGGTCAAATAAAATATATTATGTGCTCTCCATCATTAAGACTCTTATGATGAATATTCATACCCCAACTTAAATTTATAAGTCCCCGAAATTCAATTTCGGGCTTTTATCGGTTAAATTGCCAATACCGGTATTTAGGCCTCTTTGACCAATCGGTCAACTCCGGACCTTTCCATGGCTCAAATGAGTTATCCTCCACCATATAGATATTATCTAGACCGATATGGATAGTTTATGTAGTCCCGGGAATATTGGGCGGCCCCCGCTCCCGGTGCGGGCCCCACGTGCGAATTTACTATTCACGCAAAATAATTAATAAAAATCCATAACATTGTAAACTCGTTAACCATTCCACAAGGTTACATACAATATTATTCACTTAAAAGTAAATACATTTGGGGACGGTGTTACATTCAAGTAACTTCATTTATATGCTTAAGTTAATTATATTTCAGTAATATTTTTAAGAGCTCGTTTGGTAACTTAGTTTTTTGGTTTATCAACCAAATTTTTTACCAAACACGTAACTTTTGATTTTCGCGCTATGGATTGTGTAATAATTAGAAAAAGTAAGGTTGTATTTACTTTTCTTCCTGTATTGATAGAAGTTATTGTAGAAGATCATTTTATCTATTTTCATACAATTTTTTCTTTGTTTTATTAATAAAATATTTTTTCATAAATTAGTAAAATCAGTCAAATCAGGCACTTCAGTCGGAATTTCTAAATTTCAGCACAATGTATCATTACAAACGATTTGAGTATTACGGAGTACCAAACAACTTCAAGAGCCCCTTTGCTAACACCGAAATCAGCTGAATTGGCTTATCCTGTTAAAATTTATGGAGTTCTAATTGGAGTGGCAGTATTGTCCAATTCTGCTGATTTATGGAAAAATTATATTTAAATTATATTATATTATATTGATAATATATATATATATATATAGGAAAATGTTCAAGTAAGGTAGGCCTAAGAATTGAAATTCTTAGGCCTCTTTCATTTGAGGTGCTTCCCGGTCATATTTTTTGATGAAATTTTGTGAGCATGTTCTCCATGAAGTGTTGACTATGCCCACCAAATTTCAGATTAAAATTCAATCGGGAAGACGGTTAAATAATTTTTTCAAAATTGTGCAGGGTTTTACATATATAAAATGCAATTTTTTATCAATAATTTATTTAAATGACTTCCCGATTGAATTTTATTGTGAAACTTGGTGGACATAATCTTCAATCCATGGAGAACATGCTTACAAAATTTCATCAAAAAATTCAACCCGGAAGCACCTCAAATAAAAGAGGCCTAAGAATTGTAATTCTTAGGCCTACTTTACCTTAGCATTACCCTATATATATATATATATATATATATATATATATATATATATATGACTAATATTCAGGTCCGGCCAGGCCGGACCACTGCCCCCGTCCGGCCTCCTCCATTTGGGGGTCTTCCCGGTGGTATATTTTTCTCAATTTTTTTGTGTAGGTTCCTCATCAAGTCCAGTTCATCCATACCAAATTTCAGTCAAAAATTCAATCGGGAAGGTCGTCAAATGATTTTTGCAAGTTAACTGGTCCGGAATATGTATTTTACGGACCAGTTAACTTGCAAAAATCATTTGACGACCTTCCCGATTGAATTTTTGGCTGAAATTTGGTATGGATGAACTAGACTTGATGAGGAACCTACACAAAACAATTGAGCAAAAAATATCACCGGGAAGACCCCCAAATGGAGGAGGCCGGACGGGGCTCCGGTCAGGTATACCTGACCGGAAGACTACTCATATATATATATATATATATATATATATATATATATATATATATATATATGAAAATAGCTAAAATGGCCATCAACAATAACTTAAGCCGATATAGCCATAAAAGTAACTCCAACCTTACTTTTTCTTATATTTACAGAATTCAGCTCGCGAAATCAAGTTACATATTTGGTAAAAAATTGGACCGCCACATATGCATCCCATTAGCGAGTGACCCGCTGGCATGACAAATAACCTGCTAATTGACTCAATCAAACTTTTTCCAAAATGTAAGGACTTGGTAGATTTTTTATATGAGTACCCTAATTGACTTTTCCGTTATAGTACGAGGACCAAATTGATAGTTTTTCATTGTTTTTACGATACTTGTAGGTAGAACACAATACTAGTTTGGGTTGACCTTCCATGTCTCGATTTGGTGCGTGACCCGGTCATTTTGATCATATCTCTACATCGATATAGTGGCCTATCGCCTCCCTCCTGAACCACCGCCGATCCAGGAAGATGACATTGGATGGATTGCTTTCTTTCCGGTGGCTGGTCAAACCAGAACAATTTATGCACTTGGCTCTTTACCGGTGGTCGAAAAAACCGGCAAGTTCAATAATTCCTTTTTGGTGGCTGGTCAAACCGAACCCATTTCGAGTAGCATGAGCAGACATACTGCAGTACGAGTTTACATTGTTGCATAATTAGAGAACATAAATGCTTTTATATGGCGTTTTTGTTCTTTGTCTCACCCTAGCGGAGTATTGAACACTATGATTGTGATGTTTCAATTTTTAGTTGTTATGTTTCTTGTTAAAATGTGATTATTAATAAAATGATTATTTGATTACTAATTTATAGTGCCATTTTTAAATTCGACCATCCTTAACTTTTCTTCCGTAATTTAAGGGCCATTTTTTCTTCCATATACCTGCTGTTGGAGTAACGAGGAAAATAATACTCCGTACCAAACGCCCGATAAAAACTCTCCTTTTCCCTATCTCCAATCTGCCATCGCCGCCGCCAATCCAAGGCCACCATCTCCGTCGCCGTCGTCCAGGTGCACCGTCTCTGCTCATTTCTTTCTTCTTCTCCTTTATTCTTCTCGTTAATCGATGTTGCTTCTGGATTCGTTAGTGATCCATATGTAAACGCCGTAGTTGGTTTGCCAATCGGCATATGCAAATGAGGTTGAACTTCAGGGAATCATCTTTTTGTAATCTATGAGCTCATTAGTAGGTTTTGGATCAATGCAAATTTAAATTCTAATAGAAATTACTCCCTACTATGTGTATTCTTTGATTGTCTTAGTTGATTCTGATTCAAAATAATGTATCAGTTTTAGGCCTTCTTAAGATGTTAAGCATCAAGCATGAGCTGGCTAATGTACTGGATCTCACAAGGTTTATACTTGGTGGTCATACGAAATCATATTTGAATTTCTATGGATGTGTCTGAAACACAGTCTATAGATCTTATTGGCCCTACACTAAACCACTCACTGACTCACAAGGTTCATAGAAATCCCCTACTCCACAGTCTACAGATCTTCTATTAGTTCTCTAGCTTTGAAGATATGTGTACGAGACACCAATCTTCGATATCTTGTTTTCACTTTTAGAATCAATAAAAATTTGCATTCTTAATTTTATCCCTTTTTGTGATTTATAAAATTTCTTTATTTCTAACAGATTGATTTGCCTTTATATTATTTATCTTCTTCTTCGTCTGTCTTTTTAAAATATCAGGGCCATCTTTTACATATGTTTACTGTGTGTGCATTCGAAATTTGTAATTTTGATGTTATTTGCTACGACATTTACAAATCTGATTTTTTGTCAGATATTTTAGTTGCTTAGACAACTTTTTTATTGAAAACAAAAGACTAAAATTTAAAAGAAGTTTTAAAAAATTGACAGATACCTATTACCTAGCAATCACTGTGGGTGCTTGAGTGCTTCTTTACTACAGTCTGAGTCAGCTTTTGATGGTTTGCAAAGAAAACTACTCCACATTATTTACACGGAGTTCTTTGCATCATCTCTCCGAATTCATTTTCAAAATGATCTCTTTGTTGCATTTTAAATAGATTTCTTTTTGTTAAACAATGGGATCATTGTTTTTATTGTATAACTGAGTAAAATTTGACTCTTACAGGTGAAGTATATAGAAAGTTAGACACATATAACTAGTGTAGAATTATATTGTTCACATACGCCCATAATGGTCCCAACTCCCAACATAATATATTTAATTGCATTTATGTTTCCGGCACATTTTGCAGTGATATCTTGAAGATGGAAGGAAGTGAAGATACTGTATTCACCCCTGCTCTAGAAAAAATGAAATATATCAAATCTGAGGATGGAGAAATGCTTACTGAACCTTTCTTGGAAGTTTGCAAACTGATCTTACCTGTAATAGGTATCAACTTTCATCTCTTTCTTCACATATCTTTGTATTGTCAATTTGAGTTTGTTTTTGGTATTCATTTCAGACAAATAAAGTTATACTCCGTAAAATATACAAAAAATGAACTGGTTTCACCAGTACGGATTTTACAACAACAATAACATCCAAGCCTTAGTCCCAAAAGTGTTTGGGGCCTGCTAACATGAACCGACATATGAAATCAGAGTTAAAAAAGAAAATAGAGAAAAATGAGAGAAACAAAAACAGATCAACCATCCACACATATACTATACTCTCATCTAATCCAAGAGTACCATATCATTTTTTACCACTGCAATCCACGCTTCTTCTCCCCACCTCTCAATTCGTCTAACCAATATGGAATTTTAAAAGACTAAAAACCACTATGTAACCAACGCAAATTGCCAAGACCTTCAAAGTTTGCTTAAGTTGTGCCGAACTAGAGCTTTTTTGTCTTTTTTAGCATGTGTAAAGACTAAAGACTGTTTTCCATCACTTTACTTTATGTCAATGCTAGACAAGTTTGGTGCAGCCATGGCACTTGTGAAATCTGACGTAGGTGGCAATATAAAGGCGAGTTCTCTTTTTAAGCT